ACTATTTAGTGCATCCAAGATCTGAACTCATCTAATGGACTACAAGAACTTTTTTTTTTTTAAGAACAGTCAACATCCCCACATCAAGCATCAAGTCATTTCAGAATGGAAAAACCAAAATGCTTTAATAACTGTTTTCCATCTAATATGCTTACAGATTTCAGAAACAAATCATTCTAATTTATTAGAATAAATAAAATAAGCTGGCCACTTTTTAAAATAATGTCTTTAACACATTCAACCATCAAAGACAAACTGAGTTAGTCAGAAGCATCTGCAGTGGGGGTGACAAAAGTTCAGATGGAGAATTTGATTAAAGTTCTTCCTGTTTAGTTTATGTATCACTACAATTATCTTCACATTTTACCCCTTGTGGATACTCTTGGTTATATTTCTGGTGTCAGTATGACCCATCTCTGTAGTGTCCTTCAAAATAATAATAATAAAAAAAGGATTTTCCATTGCCTTCTTGTCAAATTTTATCATTCATTCATTCATTCATTCATTCATTCATTCATTCATTCATTCTTTTCTGGGTGTGCATGTGGGTGATTTCTTTACGTATTGTACGTTATAGAACAGTGTTTCTCAAACTTGACAACTTTAAGATAGGTGGACTTCAACTCCCAGAATTCCCCAGCCAGGATGTTTGAGAAACACTACTATAGGTATTGTGCAAAGGGGGCAGTGTATGGTACTGTTAATAAAACAAATGACTAAATTAATAACTGCTTGACTTTTTAAAGATCTGCCAAGATCGCATAAGTGCTATCTGAGGCTTTATTTGGAATCTCTTGGTAAAAACAACACCAACACCAACAACAATTAGTTTGTCCAGGCTACTTCTAGTTCTTATGGCCCTTTTATCTTTGAAATCAGGGTGATCATAGAAATGATCTTGTGCCACAATTATGGCAATCGGAAGGCCATTATAGTCCCTGCTGTTTGGATGAAAGCCAGTTTCAACAAAACTCGAAGCTCCTTCTCACACACATTTTTGTTACGAAAATCCCATAGAGAAAATCTGTTTCTTTAAAACTTTTTAAAATGAGGTGAACATAGAAATTCTCTTGTGACCCAATTAAAACAATTTAAAGCTCTATATAGTAACTGTTGTTTAGATTAAAGCCAATGTAAAGAACGTTCCAACCCCATTCTCACCCACATAATTTGATTCAGTGCTGCTAAAGTGCGAAATGAGTCCTTTGGGGATAGTTACAAACATCCCATAGATAAAACTTGTTTCCTTCTCTCCAGCACTACCAGGTCAGAGAAAATGTTTTTCAGAGTGTTCCAATCCATCTTGAATAATGGTGCATGGAAAAGGAGTCTGATCTTTGAGTTCTTCTCTATAGACGGCACAGCCTGAATAGCATTATGGAAAACCAGTCAAGAGTTGGTGAATTCCTTCTGCATGGATTCCCTCAAACTGAAGAGCTACGGATAGCCCACATCACCATTTTCTTAATAATTTATTTGATGGCCCTTGTTGAAAATATCATCATCATCACTGTCATTGTTTGTACCCATCAGCTCCATTCACCCATGTATTTTTTTCTGGCCAACCTATCCTTGCAAGATCTTGGCTCCATCTCTGTCACAGTTCCTAAGTCAATGTTGAACTCCTTGATGAACACTGAAACCATTTCTTACTCTGGATGTCTCTGCCAAGTTTTTTTCCTTGTTTTCTTCATGCTGTCTCACTTCTTTCTCCTTGGTGTCATGGCATATGATCGTTATGTAGCCATCTGCAATCCTTTACGTTATGAGACGGTACTGAACAAGAAAGCCTGCATCCGAATGGCAACCAGTGCATGGGTGGGTGCCCTATTTTATTCAGCATTCTTTGCAGGAAATGTATTCACAGTGGAGTTCTGCTCCAGAATCATCAATCAGTTCTTCTGTGAAATCCCTCAGTTGCTTAAGATCTCTTGCTCAGACTCATATCTTCCAGTAGTCTGGGCTGTTATCGTTGGTTCTTGTTTAGCTTTTCTCTATTTTGCTCTAATTGTTTTTTCTTATGTTCAAATCTTCAGAGCAGTTTTGCAAATCCCATCTACCCAAAGGAAGCAAAAAGTCTTCTCTACCTGCTTGCCCCATCTCTTAGTCATTTGTCTGTTTGTGGTAAGTGGTAATTTTGCATACCTGAGACCCACATCCAGCTCCCCGTCAACATCAGATCTCTTGATTTCTATGTTCTACTGTGTGGTGCCACCAGTGATGAATCCACTGATCTACAGCATGAGGAACAAGGAACTCAAAATGGCATTTTGGAAGCTGATTCTCAATATCTGTACCCATACCTTACAGAAATATTCTCACTTATGCACATTTTAGTAAATGTTTTCAATTTTCTGGCCATTTTGCAGTATATCTCATTTTCATGGGTGAAATAGCATATACTTAACCATCTTGTCCTATACATATTAATTCAGAAATAATGTTGATTTTGATTCAGTGGATTAGGCTTTTTCCCTTTGAAGTTGATAGAATTAAAAGGAATGGAGCATTAAAATTTATTATGTTCATAAACCAATGTGTACCATTAAAGCTAACATTAAAAAAATAGAGCTGCATACTAACATGCTTTTAAGTTACTTCTGGTTTTTCCTGTAAAATAAAAAAAATGTCATCCATTCATTGTATTTTAAATTAATTATAATTTCTTGCAATATTAGTACAAACATAAATATATCTCAGATTATGCTTCTATTTATGTATACATTTCTTTAAAAATGTATTTTATAGCTGCTTAGTTCATCGTTGGGCATCCTTTTTTAGAAGGGGCTTTGTATTTTCCTGATTCATTCATTTTTTAATTTGAAATTTTATCCCTGACTAGAGACATTATTAAAAAAGAACAGCAGCAACATGGTCCTGCCTGCAGGAAAACAGGAAATAACTTATTTTCATGTATCTATAAACTCCTATTTTTATAATAAGATTTTCAGGATTTTTAACGTTATGAAATGCATGTCGTAGAAGAACCAGGATATTCCAAAGTGAGAATAGAGACAGAAAACAGGAAGAGAAGATGAAAGATGCTGAAAGCAAGCATTTCATCATCAAGATTACTTATCCATACTTTAAAAAAATAGGAGGCAATCTGACTAGAATAATAATAATAAAATGGGGAGAACAAAGTATACTGTAAAAGTTCATATAACCTTGATCATTGATGTCATTGTCCTGCTTAAATTGCCCTTTGACACAGGCTTTCCCTCTTTCCTTCCTTCCTTCCTTCCTTCCTTCCTTCCTTCCTTCCTTCCTTC